GTCTCTGTGTGTGTGTGTGGTGTGTTTGTGTCTTTTTGTGGCTTCATAGTTCCCGAACGGATGAACCCATTTTGATTTTGTTTAAAAGGTGTATTAATCGGGAGTGTTCTTCACTTTGATGAAAATCGATACAAGATGGCCGCCGCCACAAAATGTTGGATCACATATTTTATCACCATTCCATCAATATGGGTATCAAATAAGAGGGCTTGAGTAGTAGCATACTGAACACTATGACAAATTTCAAATCCAAGATGGTCGCCACCAAAAATGTTGGATTACCTACATATTTTTCACGACTCCCTCAATACGGACATTAAATAAAAGGGCTTGAGTAGTAGAATACTGTTTACTATGACAAAATTTTATATACAAGATGGCCGCCGCCACAAAATGTTGGATTATCTATTTATTTATTTATTTATTTTGTACACACATACAATTTCATATGAACAAATGTAACAGACATTAGTACAAGGGCACTGCTTATTTCAATTTGAAATTTCTACCAGCAGGCCCAAAACAGGAAAAAGAAATACAATAAGGTAGTCAGTGTGTACCTCCTAAATAAATTAATATGGAATAAAAAAAAACAAATTCAAATACCGGAAAAGAGAGAAAATAAAAATACATAACGGTTCAAACATTATATAAATAATAATATATATATCTATAATATATAAAGATTAATAATACCTACACTATCCAATATCAACAACAGGAAAGATAATGATCCTTTACTCTTTTTTTGAACACAGAAATAGTGCGACTGTCACGTATATCGGCAGGCAAAGAGTTCCAGAGTCTAGCAGCATGAACAGTGAAGGAATATAAAGCAAAATCCGTTCTGTGTGAAGGAGTTTGAAGACTTAAGGTGGGATCTGCAAAGAGCATCAGGAGAACGGAGAAAGGAGAAACGCTCACGCAGATAGGAAGGATAGACGGTATTATACAGGATGTTGAACAGAAGACAGACAATCCTGACATATCTACGCTGACGAATGGGAAGCCACATGAGCTGCTTACGTAAATGTGACACATGATCATACTTACGAAGACCATAAATAAATCTAATCGCTAGATTTTGAAGTCGTTCAAGTTTGTTTAATAACTTTGTCTTTGTCTAAAATCAGTGGCATCCAAGTAACATGCATCTGCATAGTCAAGAAGAGGTATAATTAAGGATTGTGCTAGTAACACTTTAGTTTTAAAAGGTAAAAAGTTTTGAAGGCATTTAAATGTGTGAAATGAGAAGAAGGTCCTACGACTAACCTCAGATACATGGGCAGTCCATGATAGATTTGAATCCATTGTAATTCCAAGATTTTTTACAGTGTCTGTTAACTCGATCTGAGTCCCATCCAAAAGCAGGGGTGGTAAAGATAATGCAGAAATAGAATTAATATTAAACCTGCTACCTATCACAATGGCCTGAGATTTACTCGGGTTAAGCATGAGGCCAAACGAATTTGCCCAAGTACTAATGCGATCCAAATCGTTATTAATAGCTACCAGTGCCGAGTTACAGTCTTCTATTCTAAAGTGTCGATAAAGCTGCAAGTCGACTGCATAGAGGTGGAAGTTGGAAGATATAACTTTAGTAACCGAGTTAATGAAAATAGAAAATAAGAGAGGTGAGAGAACAGCACCCTGAGGAACACCCGCACCGAGGTCGCACCAATCAGAAGATTTATTACCAAGACGCACACATTGCGTGCGTCCCCGAAGGTAGGAATCAAACCATGAGAGAACAGAAGGAGAGATATTGCAAGAACGAAGAATAACGAGAAGAATGCCAAATCGACAGAATTAAAAGCACTGCTGAAGTCTAGAAGAATTAGAACTGTAAGAGCTTTATTCTCCATAGCCCAACGAATATCATCAGTAATGTTTATTAAAGCTGTTACAGTACTGTGACCAGGGCGGAAACCAGATTGGTACCTATTCAAAAGGGAATTAGAAAAAAAAAAAATTAAAAATTGCTTATGAACAATATGCTCAAGAAGTTTAGAGAGAAGGGGAAGAATAGAAATAGGACGAAAATGAGATGGGACTGAAGGATTAGATACTTTAGGCAGTGGAATAATGTACGCCATCTTCCAAATTTTGGGAAAAGAACCGGATTCAAGTGAGAAGTTAAGTATGTGAACAAGTATAGGAAGGAGAAAAGATAAAATAGGGGTAAACATTCTTACGCTTAGGTTGTCCTCGCCAGCAGCCTCGGAAGAAATGGCTTGAATGGTATTTTTAATGTCAGTTTCGGATATTTTTGAAAAGACAAACGATGTGCAGTCTGGCCTCGGAACCAGTGAATGTTCTGCGAGCGTAGAATCCTTTATGTCACCATTGATAGTAGAAGGAGGAAGGGAGAAGTGTCTGTTAAGGACGCTTAAATCTACATTGGTAGACACAGTAGCAGTAATTTTCCCACTCCTACAGAGCGCAAAAACCGCCAGGCATCAGTAGGATTGCGATCAGTAAGAGAGCTATGGAAGAAGCGTCGCTTAGCATCCCTACACATACGACTGCAGCAATTTCGAAGAACCTTAAAACGAATAAGATTGCGGTTAGTTGGACGTTTCTTATATGCTTTTTTTGCCTTATCTCTTTTTTGACCACCAAAAAAATTGACCACCCATCCAATTGCCGGCCTTTGCAATCGTCGCTTAACCTCCTCAATCGCAGATCAAACGAGCTATCCGGCACCATCGAGTTTTTCATTTGTTTATATACGGATATTGCCGTATTTGTTGTAAAATTCAATATATTTTGATGATATGGTAAGTATGAGCAAATGAATCGTTCCTCGATATTATTGAACAGAAAATCAAAAGCAGATCAAGCGTTCTACCACCTTCATACATATGAAGTGATACCGCAGACCATGAGATTTGTGACCGATATTGACAGATAGTACAATCTCATGAGCAAACACTTGAGTTTTTCCATACATTTTGTAAGTGCATGCGATTCGTGTGATATCGTTTATTCATATCGAATAACATCGCATCTAGCCATGAGAAAAGAACCTTAGGTTACTTTCCATTCGCATAAAGCCGCGGGCATAACTAGTTTAATATAATTCTAATTTACTACTTTTCCAAACAGGAAACAGTCCATGTTTCCTATGGATGACGAAAATATTTCAAAATCGTCGACGAAAAATATGGCACGAAAATTTTTTAATTAATATTTATAATTTTATTGATATATTGTCATCGCTATTTATATTTATAGCCTATGATTTGGCTAAACTTGTTTCTTTTAATTTTTGTCCGATCTTAGCAGTCGTGTTTTTAATTTTTAAATAATTTTTATATTTTATTCATTTTAGTGAGCAGTTAATTTTGAATACAGATTATATATTTTTAATGGACCTTTAATTTGATACCCATAAAGTTATGATTATAAAAAAAAACATACTTTTTTAAATGGCGTCACACGTCCCCATACCTATTTAATATTAATAATTAAGCTAGTTTCACTGATACTCTATGTATTTTGTGGTAACTTAGGATGATGTTTCTAATGATACCCTGTACATTCATATCCGTTATATCTTTCAAAAGTTATGGTGCAATAAAAATACTCACATACATACATTAATTCTAAAAACAATAGACTCCTTTTCGAGAGCAGTCGTTTAAAATATTCGGGAATCGATAATGAATCTCACCATAGAAATACTAAAATAAAAAATAAAAATTGGGAAAAGTATCAAAATAGCTTGAACGTGGTTTCAACACAGTATTGTGGACTCGTGACCTTGAACAAGTTCTCGAGAACTCAAATCACAGAGTGAAAATTTGTCATATGGCTCTTAAATGAAATATTTAAATTCGACAGCATTTATTGAAAACTAAAACAGAGAATAATGAAATAAGCATATTTACTTAATGACCAGTTATAAGATTAAAAATGCAATACAAATGACAATTGGTTCCCTCGTTTCAAAAATTGATCATTAAAATTTCAAACATTATTTTATTGCCACTTGTGAGCAATCAAATTGTAAAGTTGCATAGATGTTACTGCATCTTCTAATGAATCGTGATGTTTGACTTGTATGTCCTTATTGAGGAACTCCTTGGCCAAATCTTTAAGAGACCGTTTTTGTCCATTGGGCGACTGAAAAAGAAAACCATCATGGGTTTTTAGACCGAATTACGAAACTAAATTAATTACATTAATATCAATACCAATGTCACGTGTAACAGTCCAGTTTCACAATGCATGCATTAGTTTCACGACATTAGAATAGTAGCTTGCGAAGCGCATAGTTTTGATGTAACTAATGTCACGAAACTAATTTCATTACTATTTAGATGGCGAAACTAGTACAACAAACACCATCTGAGCTTAGAATGTTGACGGAGTATAGTGTTATATGTACTTAAATTCCAACATGCATTTATTAATTTCTTAATGTTTTAATAATCGACTCTAAATCATTTTATCTACGGGATGTTATATCAAATGCAGGCGACTAGATGACTTAAGCTATTATTAAGCGGGAGAAGTGGTTAAAAACAGCTAGTTTATCTAAACTAATATTATAATAAAGAGGAAAAGTTTTCTTGTTTGTACGAATAGACTCCAAAACTATTGGATCGATTTTAAAGATTCTTTGACCTATGGATGACCTAGGTTATAATTTAAGCAAGAGGAGTTACGTAAGTGTATAATAATTCCATTAATTGTTAATCTAGGGACAATGCGGGCGAAGCCACTGACGGTAAGCGAGCTACTACAAATCACAATACAAAGTCGAAATTTTAATTTTAATTTAAATTTGCTACACCCTTACAGGGTGTCACATAAACTGTACCTAAAAATAACACCTGTTTTACTATGTGACATGCAATAAATGAATTATTATTATTATAATGCACTCACCAGGGAAAAATAATAGGTCTACTTCTATAGATGACAGAAAACCTATCTGAAGTTTGTAGTTTTAAATTTTTTGTTTTGTGCAATACTTAAAGTATAAAAGTTACCTTAAATTGCGGGAATTCCGCTATATCACGGATTTCATGAGATGGATGTTTGAGTTTTAATACTTTCAGATCGCCTGCCACGCTGTGACCGATCATTAGATTTCCATTTAAAAAGTTTATCACAACGGCCTGGACCTGGGTCATAAACATAAATTAAATTTAAATCATTAATCGCTTTAAAATTTAAATAATTATGTCGAATTAATTCAATTTTTACCTTTACCTACTCGCCACTTTTTAAAACTCTTCGTCTAAAATTTTTTATTACGAAATTTATATTACGAAATTAGTGAAATGCAGGATAATATAAGTTTCATGAAAATTATTTCAGCACATGTGAAACTATTTTCGTAATGTCATGAAATCAACAGTAACTCACTGGCTCTGTCAACATAGAAGCGTTACTATGCGCAGATAGATCTAGGTTTTGTTTTCATTTGAATATCATGAGTTGTTGATATTCAAAATGGATGCTAGAAATTTTCATGGTAAGCTTGTCACCGGAACAAGAAATAGGTCAAAGTGCTTTTCAAAACTTACCGTTTCAAATTTCTTGCCATTTTCTAAGTTTTTTGGTGTTGTGCCTACCGGGCGAGTTGGTTTCACGAACGTATCATTTTCCACAATTTCCGTCAATTATAGATACCCTTGCTAGCATGTCGTGATTGTATTTATCACCAACCATTTCGCAATCCATTGCTACTTTTGGCATTTTCTCCAAAAAATATAAAAAAAAATATATATAACGGCGGGTAGTCCGAATGGGTTATTGCGAAGCGCAAATAGATTGTCCATATCGGAGGACTATCTTTAAAATAACACTGCAGGCGTGTATACCAACGTGGATTTGTTACATTTTATCACTTTTCTTACGAAACTATAACGAGATGAGCGTGATGTCGTCTGATGTCTTTACTCCTCGGCGATCGGAAACAGAATGTCTGACAAAATGGCGGCAACTTGGTTTTTATAAACGAACTGTCAAAGTCAGTGTCACCATTCTAATAAAATTAAAAGTATCGATGATCACGCTCTCTTACAATCGAGTAATTAAGTAATCGAGTAACTAGCAATTAAATAAAAGAAACTAAATCAAACGATCTTCGTAATGATGATGCGACATATATTAAAAGATTAAGAAACACATTAGAAATTATTATGACGAAGAATAGTAGTGCAGATAAAAAATTCGAAAAGACTTTTATAGTAGTCTAATACTAGTGATGGAATCAAGTTAATTATAAATATCGATATTATGTTTTAATTGTATGCTACTTAATCTGCTGAATCCTTAAATAAGTAAGTAATACTACACTCAATCAAATAAAAAAATATATTTATTTGCGTTCACAAACGATTATGGAATTGGGTATTATGTTGTCTTTAAAGAGGAAAGATTTAATTTTTTGTTTATTTTATTTGTAAGATTGATCGAGGTTGTATGAAATTACCACTTTTTTTGTCATTTGTAAGCTATGCTAATATCTGCCAAATAAAAATAATTTAAGTATAATTTAACATATGATTGACTGCTTGCTAAAAATCGAAACATAAAATTCAATAACTGGCTTGATAGAAAAAATAGCAAAGACTATTTCATCATAACATAAACAGTGTTTTGTGAGGTTAGCAAATTATATTGCTAACCTCACAAAATACTATTTTAAACAAGAAAATGTTATTATATTTGATCACTTTAACATTTAAAGTGCTTAAAATTCATAAGTAAATAATAATACTAATTCATAATAATACTCTCATCTGTAGCGAAAAGTAACAAATACTTGAAAATTTCATCAGACTTATTGGGTTTCGAGTGAATAAATGGTTAGACGGTCCAGATTAGGAAAGGTTGTGGGTTCGAGTTCTATCTCGAGATACATGGGGCTGTTTGATTATTTAAGAAAATGATATTGTGACTCTTTTTAAACAACTCCAAAAGAATATGGCAGTTTGGTAGTGAAAAATTACCCACGGTTTAAACAAAAATTAAAGTTTACTTTAAAATAAACAAAGCTCTTCCGATTTTGCCACATAAAGTCCCCTGGTTTTTATTTCAAAAATAAAAATTAAGATTTTTGTGTCAATATAAAAGTCAACATTTTTGTCTGTGTATCACCTAAACTGAAACATGAGTCTGTTAGATTAGTCATTAGCGCTGTTTTAACATTACTTATATCTTTTTTTTTTCTAGCTACCACTCATAAGACACGTAGTCTTGGCAATATTAATTAATTCGACATTTCGTTTCATTTCACTACATTGATCTGACTTTTATATTGAGTAAATGACGAAGTTGGCAATACTGCTGTCGAATCCATAATAATCATTCCTTATCATTCGTTACTCGTTATTAAAGTACATGTATTTAATAATATACTCTTTGCGTCTATTTTATGTAATATGAGCACGATGTTTTGGGTTTCAAGAAAACAAAATTTATTTTTTACATATATTTTTTAATTAATTTTAAAGTAAGAATCCGTATTTATTGTTGTAAAATATGTTTTTTTGAAGTACTGCTACGCAGTATAATAACCTATTATCGATAAAGTTGAAACGTCATACAGTAACCTCCCTAGTTACGAATCACTTTAACGTTATCATTGGGCGTCTAACGTTTTGGGAAATTTTAAAGACATCACTTATTATTGCCATATAAAATTAATTACTACTAGTACAGTAGAATTTCTTTATATATAAATGAAAATTTACTAGAGTTGAACAATTAAGGAGCTTATTTCATTACACTAAGATCTATATTCGATTAAAGTAATACAGGTCTTATTTATTAGTCATATCATTCTTGCGAGCCGGATTAGATAGTGAAATGATAATAAATTTAGCTGGTTTCCATAAAAGATTACATTACTCTTCCATTTGCCAGCTACATTTACGTTAGCAAAACATTCGTATTGTTCTATATTATTTGATATTTGGCAGGAGTTACATTAAATTCCTGTTCATTACCCCGTACATGAAGAGCTTGTTTCGAATTCGAATTTTCTTGTTTTGAATTATAAATCGACTTACTTTGTTCAGCTGACGCCAATTTGACTGTCTCAGCTTGACCGGGAATCTTCTCGTTCTTCCATAGAACTCTTACAATCTGATGGTATGCTATAGTCATCAGGAACAGAGGTATTCTGAAACAAAGCAGGAAAGATTCAGTCGAAGTTTAAGAAGAAGAAATAGTATTAACTGCGTGTAAAATTATGCTGGACTGAATTGAAATATTTTGTTGGACTTTATTTTAAAGGCCAATGTGGCGGCCTCAGCCATGCCTATTGAAAGATCACAAAACTGATATTGTGACAGCCCTTGACTTTTCAAATATTATTGCACGCAATCACAGGTCAATAGAAATATTTTGTTGGACTTTATTTTAAAGACCAATGTGGCGGCCTCAGCCATGCCTATTGAAAGATCACAAAACTGATATTGTGACAGCCCTTGACTTTTCAAATATTATTGCACGCAATCACTTTTGTAAAAGTAATTTATCGCGTAATGAATTTTAATGAGTTTATCTTTATTCTTAACTAGTTGTTTGTGACTTTTTACGCGTATGACGTAGCTTCCTGTAAGTGAAAGATTTTTTTAAAACGGTTATTAGTTTTTAAGCCTAGTCGATGCTATCAAACGAATCTTTCCTTTTTATAACATTAGTACAGAAGTATAGATGACATTTGTATGAATTTCGTACCTTTTACTACTATAGAACTATTAAAATACCTAATTTCCATCGGAGGTAGGTACCTATCCCCTGTTGGTTGCTACAGTAATTTTCAACGCAATTACTAATAATAAATTGGTGTTCAATGCGATGAATTAGTTAGGAATCAAAGCTTTATTATTGGCACATGACTTGGAGGAACGCGTTTTGTTATTCTTTGTGAAACAAATTATGGAATCGGATTACAGTTTTCCAGTAATTCGATGAGCAACAATTACATTGTAGGAATTTAGTTATTAGTCATGATTATTATAAGGTTTATTATTACCCATTAAATTCAGCTTCGCTTATCTGTTAGAAATCAGCTTTGAAGCTTTGGAGCTGTGACATCATAGAACCTCAAAAAATAAAACTTTCATAACCTTTTGAATTAGGATTTGTATAATTAAACATTTTCGATGTGACAGCGCTGCGCTCGGCATCGAATAGGGAATATGCACATTTTCGGAAAATGTTTTTATATGATAATTTACATCGCTATATAACTGTAAAAAAAATCCCGGTACCGAAAAACTAAATTTTGTAACATTAATAAATGATGAAAATAAGTAATAGCTACGAGCAGTTTAAACACCGGAATTTTTGTCGCGCTCGTCGTGACGTCAAAGTACACGACTAGAGATATGACACTATAAATCAATATGGATTTTGAGTGATTGATTATTATTCAATTACCCAAATCGATTAATAACTAATCGATTTTTTTAAGTATAATAGACTTTTTTTAATAAATCATGTATTTTACCAAATTGGTGAAATAAAAATAAAAACCTAAAACATTATTTAAATTGTAATCAGTTGTTTATTTTGCGACATAATACATTGATGTTACTGCATCGATGTTAACTTTTTGTAACAACGACATCCCTTTACGTGTACATTTTCGTCACATCCGCTCTGACAAGTAGCATGACGTTTAAATATTTTGAAGTTACCGCATTTATTTTGCACTTTTTAATAATTATTTTCAAGATGAAAACGAACTAATTTTGAAAAATATTTAGATAGACTTTATTCTAAAGCAATAACGATTATGATAAAATATATTTAACCCTTTTTTTATCAGACGCATATTCCCTATTGGTGACTTTTACATTACATACTAGCTGTTTTCCAGCGACCTCGTATGCGTAAATCGCGTATGATGTAACAATCTGTAGATAAAACAGAAAATTCTTTCTTCTTCACTGTGATAATATAGTCATAATATTCACGAAAATGCGGAGCATACTCAAAGCTAAAAAGATATAAAAAGTAAAAAAATTTGAACCGACTTCTAGTTTTAAAAATATAATAAATAATACTTTTCTTAAAAAGCTACTTATTCAAGAAAATGCTATTGAAGTTGGGCGGAGGTCTTCTGTAAGTTATTAATTAATTGATAGATGCCCGCATTTTGTATTAAGAATATTAGCATTACAATATTAGCATTTTGTATTAAGAATAATTTTCAGTATGGCATTGTGAAATAAAAATTAATTAAAATATAATAATTAGCACAAAATTCTAATCTTTATCGAAAGTTTCAATATTTGTAACAATATTCATTTCGGCTGTTTGGGTGGATGCCTGAACATTGATGAGAATGCGCTCTGTAGTAGCGAAAAGTATCAAGTGTTTGAAAGATTCGTCAGTCCTGTTGGGTCCTGGGTAGCTCAGTGGTTAGAGCAGTCGCTCGGATTGCGAAAGGTCGTGGGAACGATTCCCATGTCAGGGTGCCAGGGACCAAGTGGATTTTTTAAGCATTTTGTATTAAGAATAATGTTATACTAGCTGAAAATTATAACAAAACTATAGATACATCTGTTATGACAAAACGCAACGATATCTGGATGCCGCTGAGTATGAGTTAGCATATCTTTCTTTATCATTGAGTTATCTGCCTAAAATAACTTGAATTCACGTAAACATTACACTGGGCAACACTCAAAATGTCTCGGGGAAATTTCATATAGTATTTAGCACATAATCATATCATAATAATAAAACCTGGCACTAGGGTTGGGAGAAGCATTTTTCAAAATTGATCAAGTATAATAATTTTTGGTCAAATTATTTAAACACAAGTGTTAGTTTGTTTGGTACATGACACGTTGACCAACGAGCTATTGATATAATTAATAGGATCATTATTGAATTGGTTTTAGTACCTTGGTCTTGGTTTAATGATCAAACATAGGGCAGGACCATTCTCCCCTATGCTTACGTAGATATTATAGATTTACGCTTACTACGGCGGAAAACCCAGTGTTAGCCACTAGCCTGTAGTCATTTGGAACTTAAAGGCATTCTAACTAACGCATAGACAAATATATAACTTTACCCTGCCCTGCGATTCTGAAAAAATCCCGACCCGAATGCGAATTCACTATGTGTAAGAATTCACGACATTTAGTGAAGAAATTGTATCGATTATTTTTTTTGTATAAAAATAAAAATACAAATGCCTAAATGTGCCAGAAGTACAGAGTAGCCTAAGATAATGTTTTTTTTTTTTTGGTCACCCATCCCGTGACCGACCCTTGCGAAAGTTGCTTAACAACAACGATCGCGGGCCGCGGCGCTTATCCACCGCGCCACTGAGCTACCGTATTTATTATTGTATTTCAATCGAAAATTTTAATTCGCACTTAATTGCTAGTCTAAATTGCTTGACGTGTGTTGTCTGTTTCTTTTGCATGTAGGTACCGTTTTTTTTTCTCGTACGACTCAAATCCAGTTTTGTATTATTTAATCACACGGATCGGGAATCATTACCTTGCCGTCACACAGTGAATACTAGAGTGGGAGGTAAAGGATTTGCATTTGTGTACCCTCAATTTGAAATAGAATAAATAAATGGAAATGGAAAATAAACAAGTAAATATTTCAGTAGGCAGTTAACCACGTTATTTGAAAAATGTACAACAAGATGTGTGATTCTGAATTTACACAAATAACATGCTACACGTTATCACCATTGTCTATATCTTAATTTATAACTGAAGCGCTGTTATTAATTTACGACTTAAGATTGTAATGACAAAATCAAATAGGTTATTACTGACTCAATATTATTTTAAAAACTATTTTGTCATTTGCTTTGGTTCGATTTGGTTTTGATTCGTAGATAATAATTGGGAAACTGTTATGTATGTATACAGTATAGTACCTACCCATAGTATATATACCCTGCAGTGCGCGGCTGCGTCCCGCACCCCCTTCCCTTCGCGCCGATGCAAGCGCATCATCGAATAAACAGTGTGTTACAGATAGCCGATAGTTTCATTCGTACTACTCGCATACTTAACAGAAACCTTAAATGTTATAGTGATTTTAACGGCATAAAAATTCATTTATACAGTACCATAAAACTCGCGCCATAATTTTATTTAGTGGAGAGGTACCTAATTCCCAAGCGTTCACGGCTTCTATGTGCACGAGCGAACGCGCAGAACTTTGAGGTAGCAGACATTTTATATGTCGGTGTCTAAGAAAAACACTTCGAATGGCCGATCTTAACAAAATTGTGTAATTTAGTGTAATAATTTATGTGTTTTCTGTGTACGCAAATGTAAAGGTGTTCCATTTCTAATGTGTACATATTGTTTGTTGTACATATCTACTACTAGAATAACAATATTCAATGAAAAAGGATTTTAAATAAAAAGGTGAATTCAACCTCATAAGAATAAGTTAAAGGTATAATATGTAAGTACATATAATATGTATAGCTTACTAAAGTAAATCTTAGAAAACATGTATATAACTGTGTTAGCTGTTGTCAAATAAATTTAAAATTTTCTCATATTTAAATAAGATTTCAATATTACCTAACTATAAATAACATTGCTTTTCACAGTTCAAAGAAATCAAATACCTATGACACAAGGTATTTTATTAATACGAGTAAACAGCTTTCTTTATGTTTCCTTATATACATAACTACCTAACTATAAGATAAAATTGTAACTGGGATACAGAGAAATAAATTATTATTATTAATTATTATTTGTAATAAAATCTTGTTATGACTTACGTGTAAATTAGCAGAACCTTGAGGATATGCCAAATCACTTCGCTGGTAGGAGACCAGGTGGCCATACACTGGACTAAGTATTGCAGGTTGAAGCGAAGCGGCACCGTCTGTACTGTTTCCAGGACCATCAGCTCCGGAGAATCTGTTGGAATAAGTGTTTTAATTCGTTGCAATCTGATTCAATGAGGTTTATTGAAGCTTAATTACAACTAGCGTCAATTCGTTAGAAGTTTTTATTTATGTAAACGATTTTCCGTGACCATCTGAAATTGGGTAAGGTTTTCGTAATATTTCATTTAGGTAATGATTTCTAAATTATTTGGAGCATAAATATGAAAGCTTACTGTAGGAGAGATATCTATACTAATATTAATATAGATATCTAATTGGTTGTAGGTGGGAAACTTCGGAAATATTGATCTGATCATGAAAATTATTTCATCCACGGAAGCTAAATAATACGCGGCTGTTATTTACGCGGGTGAAGTCATGGAGAAGCAAAGGCCGGTTATAATGACGAAAAATTTATTATCTCGAGGCGACCAAAAATTTATTATCTCGAGCTCCTTCGTGCTCCGGAAGGCACGTTGAACCGGGTTTCCACTCCATCTGCAGTCGTTAAAACAAACATATGCGCGGTGGGTCATGTTCCGTTCACGATCTCTATTTGTTTTGATTCGATTCAATCAATTAATTTCGTATTAGCAAGATGGATTATGTACAGTCAATAGAACTTCAGACTATACAAAGTTGTCAAATTACTCAATTCGATTTTACTTTTTAATAAATTGAGGGTAGAGTGAAAAATTTATATCGGAAATTTGACTTATTATGGCAACCTCATGAACAGCCGTGTACTTGAATAGAATAATTCATCGCCGCAAATGCAATCTATTGTTAGTTTTTAAAAAGCTTTTCATTATGTAATTAATTTGATTAAAAACACTTGCTTGTTTGTTTAAGCTCATTTATTAGCGCCTCTACCCGTTTAAAAGTTAAAAAGTTATGTCTCTTTTGGAATTTGTATTTTTTTTATAGGTTGCATTGAAAAAATGGACCCCACTTAATCTTCCGCAACCCCGACGCATAAATTTAATTAAATTGGCGATTTTAGGACTGGGCCTAGATTGCGGAAGATGTATAGTTACATCGCCAGCTGAGGTTTTTGCTAATTTATACATTTCAGGTAAATACACTTTACTAGTTTTTACTTAACACTTTTTGTGGCATTTTATAGTTTTCAATAGATACTATTCATTGTCATTATAATTATCGATCTTAATAATTCATTATAATTAAAAATCATAATCAAAAATAAAATAAGTCATTATAATTAAAAATCATGTAAGGCAATTGTCCCATTTCTGCCTATTTATATTCCTGTAAAATAAATTCTAACAAAAGAAATTTTCAAAAATATGTCTCAAATCGGTGAATTATTGAATGTTGCATAGTGAGTCAGAAGAGCTCAAGTTAATAATGACTACAAAGAAACGCATTTTTCTATAAATTAATAATGCAACAGGGGCGCCACCTGACATCGCTTCTAATGCACAAATAATCTTGACGGATATGATTGTAACAAAATTATAAGAATTATGAATTAGACACAAAAAATTTCAATGACAGAAAAAAGGAAAAATATCGCATTACCTAACCATAGAACTCTGTATCATTTTCGTGTAGCCTATTGTTTCACTGGGAGAGAAACGACCCTGGTCATACCATATCGACAATTCATCTTTTTTCTGGGTAATTTACATTTAAACTTTTTTTGTCTGATATTGAAGTCGGTTAAAAATATGTTTATGAATACATGATAATAATTATAATTTTTAACCAGCTTCCGAAAGGAGGAATTTCTATGTACAACGGGTGTGTATATGTTTAATGCATTTTTATATGTATAACTTGGGATGTAATTCAAGCTTTGACTCAGAAATTTTTGACTTACAGGCAACAATAATTTGCAAGTTGCTACCTTTTTTGTACCGGACTTATTCCTTGATATTTTGTCTCCCTTGGTACAAAATATCAAGTTTCTAAGTCATCAGGAGTGGCAATTTTTTTTAGTAAGTCATTCAAATTTGATTATCTTTGAAGCTTTGATAAATAGCCAAAATTCATGTATGAAAATTAAATACTCCTAATTAAATAGTTTACGAATTGTGAAGGGTCGTATTACATATGGCGCGTTGGCAGTTCCTTTTTTGAGCTTGGCTGAAGACTGCCGTGTGTGTAGTTTGTTTCTAATTGTACCCGTTTGGATAGATAAGAGACTGTTTAATTTATTAAAATTTCTAATCGCTGACGTTATCGGATAAAACTCAAAGGCGGAACAGTTTTTGTTCCCATTCAGTTTTATGCTGCTAATTATTATAATATTAACGAATAAAGGCTCATTTTCATTGGTCGGTTGGTTGATAAATCGTATACGGTGTTTACCACATACAATAATGATGTTGATGGATCATATTTTACACCCATCAATCCGCACTGGGACGTCATGGTAAGTCACAGCCTATCGTTCCTATTTCAATTCGCTTCGATCCTATCCATAGAGATAGCTTGTATTCCAGCGGTGAGCACATTCATAGATTCGTGATGATGAACGTGCGTTAACTACCGTAATAGCATACCAATGTACTAATCAAAATTTAATAGAAAAACTTACTGAATATCAACGATATAGCCCATATGACGAGAATAGCTGTCTTGGCCCGTCCAGTTGTTGACTTGAACTTGAGTGGGAAGCAGATGGCGTACCAGCGGTCCACACTGATGAAGGTCAGCGTCAGAACTGACACAGTTACCGACACCGACTGAAATAAATAGAGCTATTATAATAGAATAGGAAAGATAGATAGATACTAATGAAATATAACTTAAAAGGAGAGGGAAAATCGCGCGATCAGCTGTCAGATTCCCTATATTCGTATTATTGAATCCATAGAGAATCAAAAAATTTCTAAATCGAAAATTATTTCAAGACTTGAAATTTATATTAATATTATAAATCTGAAGAGTTTGTTTGTTTGAACGCGCTATTCTTAGGAACTACTGGTTCGAATTGAAAAATTCTTTTTGTGTTGAATAGACCATTTAGGCTTAATGGCTCCATTTAGGAAGGCTTAATGTTACATAACATCTCGCTGCAACTATTAGGAGCGAAGAAATAATGGAAAATGTGGAAAAAACAGGGAAAATTATTCATCCTTGAGGGCTTCCGTTGCGTGCGCTGCTAAAACGGTTCAAGATACCAAAAATATATATATGAAAAACTATGCTATGATAACAGCAATCATTGTTTACTATTAAATTTGCAATTATATCTGTGTCATGCTATGAATCGATACCCAAAGAAACAGTTCCCTAGGGATCACGCGGAATCACACCAAAGTAATAACTGCTTCAGAAATTTATCAGACGAAAAAGCAGTCTTCCGGATTGCTAAATGTTGGGAGTTCATGTCCCATCTTGGGGTGTCTGGGAGGGGTGATTTTTTTAAAACCTATTTTTATTAAAGAAAATACCTATATAAAACTGCAGGCAGATTTTTTATATTTTTGGTACCGTGATCGTCTCTCTCTCTTACTAATCGACTACCATCTCGAGGCTGACAAGCTCTAGTTTAAACACGTCCATTGCCCTAACGCGGCGTATAAAGCGGCCTATTACGCTGCTCCTGCTAAGGCGACGTCGCGTCCTAGATTGTTGTATAGACATATTGTTGTATAGACCATAGGCAATCGGCTGTTTTGTATTGGCTTTTATAATTTGTTTAATCAATTAGATCTCATTTCCTTTCTCATCTAATAAGAATAAATAGAGTTTCGGAAACGAATTATTATGTTATCGTCTATTTTTAGCACTTTGTTTTTTTATAACATCAAAGCTTGGAAAATTGATTTATTTATTCGCAAAAGAGAGAGAAATTGACATTGAAGAGTTTCCTTAAGATTTTGTTTGAGCCTAAACGTTTAATTGTTGATTTACAGGTGGTTTTACAGGTAAAACATACGAATTGATATTGGAAATCGAGTAAGTAAAGGCATATTTATTCTGATGTGCATGTGTAGATTTATTCATAATGACAATGACCGTCTGTCCAATACGTAGTGAAAGACATTGTAATAAATTACCCTAGGAGTATACCTAAGCATAGTTAAAATAAAATTTCATGGAGAGTATTTTTATATCATATACAGTAAGATTTTTGATAAGGCGTTCAGAGCATATTTCTTCCAATTAGCAATTTTATATGGTCCTACTTATATTTATAATATAAATAGTTTGACAGTAGCAGTTTAAAGAGTGAACTACAAAAAATTAATTTAACAATAACAAACACGTTAAAGTACCGGTTAAACAAATAATACCTACACCATTTGGCAACGGTTACATGACATCATAACTTTAACCGCACAAATTTCGCTGGTTAAAGTTACCGCTTAACTACGCCAAGAAAGAAAATGATACAATGCATTCCACAGCCAATATTGAAGTCAGCGGGATAGTTATCGACAAATTTGATATGAAATTTAACTGCTTTATTAGTGCAATCCTACCTTACTAATTAAAATTTTAAAAATAGATGGCAATCAAATTACGCATAAGCCACTTGACTGCGTACACAAATCAAGGCGTATAACGTCACTTTTCACAAACATCATTAGTTCTATTGAAGTCAAATATTTGAAGACAAATGTGGCGCTAATTACCTATGTCTCTATTTGTAATGTCACTTTAAATTCTAATGACTGTAGAATTTGTGACGGCAATAACGGTTACGTGACATGTTTATAATTTTTGTATAATTTGAGCGAAATTTTAGACGCATTTCTAAAATAACTTTTTATTAAAAAATACGATTTAAGTATTTCAAAGTTTTTTGTAATTGATAGTGCATTTAAACAGAAGCTTGTGATTTGTGTGATTGTTTTTTAGTATTTACTATTAATTTTCTCAGCTAACCATTACGTTTGATAGCCATATCATAAGAAGCTATTAGACCATCTTGGGTGGTCCGCAATTATATCTATTGAATTTAGAATGAACTCAATTTATTTCTTGTAATTTTCTAATCCCTTTCATTTTTTATGACAAGACCCAAAAAATACCAAAGCCGCCATTTTGTGCCATCCGCCATGTCAAATTAAAAATAATATAAGTTAGCCAACCATGTATTATCTCTAAATTAAAGTTGTATAAAATATTTAAGCTCAATTTATTGAGGATTTAGCTTTTGTTAGGTCATTTGCTTTGAAATCCAGTTTCAAGATTTGACGAACATAATATACAATATTAATACATGCATTTTAGAACTTCAGTACTCTAACCGTAAATATTCGGAGCTATATCAGGTACTCATGTGTAAACTACATAGATTTTATAACAAATTCAATATTTTATTTTATTATCAGACTGTTGAATGTACTTTGAATTGAATTTAATCGAAATAGGTATGTTGATTTGGAATCAAGAAGTTACTGACATGATTTATCATGAATGTCCATGTGAGAATTTCTTCTATATTTGACATCCAATAAAAAGTTTGAAACGTTGTTCATCAGTTCTTGCTCTGATCAAAGAAATCACTGAGCTCTTTATAATTTTGCATTCTATAACGTACATGTTATTTGGTTCGATTCGATTATGACTTTATAATGTATTCTCACGTCGTAATGCTTATTAATGTACTAATTATTTATATGTCAGTTTTATTAATAGTCAAAATAACATGGAAACATATTGAGACTCTTTGGTTACAAATTTACTACATTTTGATTCTTAGAGTAAATTATCTCATCAACGGAATTACCTGGAAATAAAGTAGCATTTTGCACAGCGTATTACCCAGAAACCACGTCTCCGTCACATCCCAGAGGACCGTCGGTGGTAAACAGAACAATATCACCATAAAATCTGCTGCTGCCAAATTGACAATGAAATAATTGGTCACCGTCCTCATTGTATGGTTCCTGTATACTGCAATGCACACTAGAGCGTTTCCTACTAAACCTATTATGAATACAGTCGTATGTGTAGCAATAAGAATCCACTCGTATGTTTGTGGGTATATGTAGTTCTGTAACATGGCAACATAATCTTCTTTAGTCATGTTACAATAATCTTCTAATCCAACGCATTCATCTACAGTTGTCGAATTGACTGTTGGTGTTATTTTTTCTGTTTTATTATTACCATATTCTTTATCTATATAACTGTAATCTAAATATATCGATCGTTTAGCTATTTCATGATAGTTTTCATCGTTTGCCTTGTTTATATCTTTCAAATGCTCTTGAGTTTTGTTATTATCAAAACTATTTTTTAACTGTTCTAATTTGTTACCATCTGTTCTTACGGCTGTTTGTTTAATAAACGAATGAGTTGTTTTACTATGATCTATGTTTGTAAGTAATATATTTGTAATCAATTCATTTTTCTCGGTAATTTCTAAGCTTGCAGCGTTGTTTAAAATAAATGCACCCAAAATATATACGTGTATTCCTTTATGCATTATTGATGTTCCTTTGTCCGATGATTGTTGAGTTGGTAATCTTCGAATCATTTTAGATCTGAAACAAGGAAAAAAAATCGCTTTTAAATTGTTGGAATACATAGATTTCGAACTCCACAATACACATTACTAATGCTTATAAACATCAGACAGCTGTATAGGTATTTGTTTATGTTACGTGATATTTACACATGACTTCGTTTTACAGTATTGTGATCATGAATTGGTATCGAGTAAGAGATTAAGATAACGTATTTTTTGTTTGAAGTTAATATATTTCAATAAAATGTAATATATCCAAATCACATTAAATTAATTATATTTCATAGTTGTGATTAAATTGTCTCAACGGAAAGAAAGCAATATACAAACAACTAATATTTATAGCGATATATGTCGCATGTCATATGTCGCATTGCAAATGAATGTGTTATTGGTTTAACTTGGGGAGCGAAAGGTTTCGGATTACGGTATCTATATTGCATACTTAATAACAAGTGTTGGTTAACTTATAAAGGTAAATAAGGTCAAATTAAGGTATTAACGACGGTTCTTCAAATATATTGAAATAAATTCAACTTGCTTCCTAATTGTATATTTTCTTAGCGGTATACGTAACAACAAAATAAAATAGTATTTTTTTGCACTCTCAATATTTACTTTGTAAAATGGAGATTATACCGCTCCAATATTCAAGCAAACTTTTACCCATCGCTTTATAAGATGTAATGAAATTAGTCCCATCATACTATTGATTCCTCCAAATATGCTTCCTGCTTCCAAATATGATGGTCGTAATAATAATGTAAAGAAAATTTAGCATCGAATTCAATGTCCAAATCCTTCAAATCAACTTCTTTCAAATGAAGAACTTAGCCATGTGAACAGTCGTATTTTCTCTTGTGGATCCTATTTGTAAATGATACTACAAACCAATATGCATTTTATTATATCTGTGCACCATTTACCTAAGTATCAAGGATTCAGTTGTACTTGTGTTGTTGGTGAACTTTTAATGACCAACTTCCATAAATCCTTTCATTCCCAATTTCAACACCTTCTGCCCCTCTTTGTGCGATAAAAGGTAAGCCATGTCTTTATATAAGGTGAACTCTATCTTCATATCAAATTTCATTAAAAAGTTGTTTAAGTTTAAAAGCGTAACAGACAGATTAACTTTCGCATTTGTAATATTAGTAGGAGTTCACATGCCAAAGTTTTTTGATACCTGGTTCAATAATAAACTAAAAGCTACCATTTGGATTTTCAAGTTACATCGTTCCAAGATAGAATAATTAATGGAAAAGGTTATGTGTATGAGTAATACATTAAAACATACCGTGGAGTATGATTAGGATAATGGAAGATGTTGGAATTACTCATGGCATTTTAGAACTTATTATAACGTGTATGGATTAAATTATACTTATGAGCATTCATAACTGTAATTGTAATAAGCAAGTATAATCTTTACACGAAAAGAAACATTAGGTATAAAGTAAACATACGATATTTTTATTCCATTAAGCGTGGTGCCCATAATGGATTCAATCCTTTACTCAATACGATAAAAAATCTACGGATAAAGTGTGTTCTGCATTGTTGCCAACCAGCGTTCCAACAAAGGTGACATGTTTTAACAATTCACGAAATTGCTCCAAAAATGCTTTATTGTAACTGCTCGAGTCTCAGATATTTTAATGTACTTTCATGATTTTTTTTTTGTTTTCTTTAATTTTTTTCCTTTGAGTTTGTTATATTAATTTTATTTTATAATTTTGTTTAATACTTTTATTCCTATTTTAAAAGTTACTTACATATCAATCTCACAATGTTAAGTATGTTAAGCTGTAACCATGCCATAATAATAATTGTTTATTATCAGTTGATAATCAGTTGTAACACTAGTCTAGACAGTTGTCTAGACTAGTGTTACTAATTCCTTTCAAAAAGGATTAGGATTTGAAGTTGGATAAGCCGGGACAATTCAGTTTAGTTATAAATTATTACAGTTAGTTTAATTAATAGAACAGTAATAAATAATTAAACATGTTGATGGAGTTGAAACAAAGTAATTGAGTGTCAGGTTAGTAAATTTCAAAATTTACCACATAGAAACTTTCAGCTATCCTCTGCCTCTGTTAGAGTGGTGGCCCCTAAATTTTCGAGGTGAAAACTATTTGTATCACAAGTTATGCTTATAGGAAAAGTGTAAGATACAAAGTGACTCAAAAAATCGATTTAAGAAATTAAGAAATTTCCCAAAAATTGGCGAACTTTAGAAATTACTTTGTAATTCATTGTCATTTAAAGCTTATTTTTTTTGTACAAAACCAATTATAGTTTCAAAATAGAATCCCATAAGTTACGACGGATCCCCATGAAACAGAATGTTGGATTTCAACTCTTTGTAATTAAAATGTTTTTATTTTTATTATCTAATGACATCTTACAGTGTATTGAAACAACATTTTGAAATAGTTTTAAAGAAATAAACACTTGTTTGGCTCCAAAACTTTTCTCTTTACATTATTAGGTATGGTAATATAAATCATAATAGTAGTAGTAGTGTGTGTCTGTGTAATAATTTAAATCATATACTTCAGTTTCAGTATCTTCATATCTTAAAGTTTTTAACGATTCCTCGGGTATTTCGTTACATTTCGGTTTTATTATTGAGCTTGTTATAAATAAATGCAGATTGACTTATATATTGGCGTTTAGCAACAGCTGTATAATATATATAGAAAGTTGTTAAGGGATATGTATGATGGCGCTGGTCTACGTGGGATCTTTCGTCTCGCTCTGACCACATATATACATCGTTTTGTACTGTGACGTCGTGCAAATTTGCGGCGCACTTTAATATGATTACAAACTACGAGGGTGCCATCTTGCACTATAAGATACGTGTTATGTATGAATGTTTAGTAAATAACGATGTTATAATATAAATAAGTAAGACAAAATGATTGTTCGTAACGCATAGATGTTAAGAGTGGGGGGTGGCTTCGCATACTAGGGAACAATGTATGATATGATAATAAACTGCTTATGATTACTTCTATGTATTACTTGTATGTAATATGTAATAAATACGAAATATACATATTTATTTTATTTTATTAGTTAAGCATTTCTATTGTATACATAAAAATTTTCCGAAAAATATTAAACCTTGTTGTGCTATCCATACTTTTTTTTGTAATATTTGCTTCAGGATTAGTAAAGAAATGTCATAGGATAAATAAGGAACATTTAAAAATTCTTTCACCTTTGGAAATGGGCTATAAATTACGCGTGCGAAGTCGTAGCAAAACAGCTGGTTTTTAATAAAGTTAAATAAGAGGGAATTTGTATATCTATAGCGAGATTTTATAATAAAATTATATTTTTCGATAGCTCCTATGTATAGGCAATATTTATACAAATATTATACAAAATTATATGCGTTATTGAAATTCTAAAGCTACTTAAGCTAAACTGCTTATATTATGGTTATGAAAATCTGATACCACGAAGGTACTACAACATCTAGATACAAAACAATACAGAAAATTATTTTTCTAAATGGAATTATAGTACATAACACAGTTTTCTCTTCTGAGTCTCTGTAAAACCTTTTTAGTTAATGGCTACGCACCCTTGTAAAAGGATCTTAAGCGGACCTTTGTTTTTGATATGACAGAGTTCGCATACATTTAATGTAGTTTTCCTCTTTTCTCGTGGTCCAGGGAAGGTAAAAACGGTTAGAGGCAAGTATCTTTTGGAAACTTACCAAACCGTCTCAAACTGTGCTTAAGCCATTTTAAACGTCAATGAAACAGGTTTTCATTACAGATTTTTAATTCTTTAATTATCAGTTGATAGCAATTTGATAAAACTAGGACTTTTTGTCATATAAAATGCAAAAACTTAAGTTATTGAGAATAATCATGATCAGTTAAGATTTTTTTAGTTCATTAGTAAAATATTATGAAGATTTAATTAAATATGAGATTTCATGCTATTTTTACGGATTCATGGAAATTACAAAGGCTTGTTGCTGACTAAAGTACTGAGTAATATAAACAAAGATGGACATGAATATCCTAAAATAATAAAGATATTACAACTGATTCCAATGAAGACGGCATGAAATTATGTGTGGGTTTGTCAATGTTTTGCGTGGCACAAAATATGCCTGTTATTTTAAAAGTAAGAAATGTTTAAATTATCATTTAGTTTACGTTGCCAGGCGCTAATGGATAAGGAAGAGTTTTGGTTGAAATTGTAAACACAGTTGTTATTGAAATCGTAAATGTAATAGTCGCGTTGGCCAGTGTATGCGGTGACGTTACGGCGCCATATTTTAACGCTTTGTAAGCTCTAGGTTGTTGAACGCGTGAAAAAATTTGCTTCAATTACCGGTTAGAATATTGTACTGTATAAAATCGTTTCACGAAAGAGTTTCATTAGCATAACTCTTATTCATATGCAGTAAAAGCGAAAACATTGTAATCCGAGGGACTTCTTTGGTGAAAATAATTTTAGTATCGCGTGCACGGACCACGCATTCAGTAATGATCGAGCTACATCTGGTACCACAATAACTATCCCATCTTTCCGTTGACCGACCGTTTTCCGTCGCTAAGAACTGGCATTTGCTAGAGCGAGAAAGATACGTATCATTTATTTTCAATACTCATGTAATACTATGGTATAGGTCATTACCCGTATTATCTGACCTAGAAATAGGCTGTAGGAAATATAAATGAATGAATGAATGAATGAATGAATGAATGATTTATTGAACACACCATTATAACAATATAACATCAAAAGATAGCACAGGAATGAAAACAATTTGTTAGATACAGGTTTATATAGTACTAGGGCCCTCCAGGGTGGTGTGTCCAATAAGCTCCAGCTCGACATAAGCCGCAGATGACTACAGCGTCGATTTTCAGCTGACGCCTAGGGTGTCTTACTATTATAAGAAACATAGAAGAATATTTATATATCAGTACACACACACACACACACACACACACACACATGTAAATATACACATATAACACTAACATATATATATCCAATATAGTATAAGCTAACAATTATATTAAACAATAAGGCACTGAATTTTCCGAATAATATTCAAAACGGAAAATTAAAATTTTTATCAATTTAGCGTGACAACTTAAATAATCGATATCTCACATTACGATCGATAATCGAGCAATATGTTTTTGTACTTTTCTGTTCCATCACTCGGAGGCGTCATTATTTACGGTCAAATGACATATGTCAAACAAGTGACCTATTAGTTTTTAAGACATCTTTTGTTTATATAAAATAATTGCCCAAGCAATTATTGGTTAATTTTTGGTTAATCCATGTAGAAAGAAAGAATTAGTAATTCTAAATTGTTAGGTTGAATGAAATGTATTTAAATCATGAAATGGTCTCCTACGTGAAGCTGGCAGAATTGTGGTGTCTTAAAGTGCCATTAAAGTAAAGAAGAAGAAAGTGCCTCAGCATGTCCAGAACACCAGAACTAATTCGTATTATTATGCTGAGAACTCCAGACGCAAATGAAGAGAAAAGCGAGACAGATTTAATGCGTTATATTAAGCTCACAAAAGAGGAGCATCACATAGCAAATATCCTATGCGATGCAACTATCAAAAATGGATCACAAGTGAGGGAAGTACGTGTGCTACGTAACAACATACAAGCACAACAAAAACGGCAGCCACGACAAGCAAGGACTATGAGGGTTCAATTTGGCCAAATTCCACTCAACCCACACACAACATGAGGCATAACTTAAAATGTAACTTAAACTTGGTTATAACTTAAAGGTAAGTAAACTCAAAACAACAATTTTAATGGTATGAAAATAAATTAAAGGTGTCTACAGTTGAAATTATTAACCATATAAGATTATAAATAATAAGATAGATACCTACCTAATTAATGGGATATTGTTATAATGATTATTATTTGATTTGTCGAACTAACATGAGTAATAAATTAAACGATAAGAAAAATACAAATAAGATATTACAATTACAGGTCCTCCCACGTTTGTAAGTGCCGATTAAGAGAGATTTTCAAATAGAAATATATATGACCAAAAAACCCTGCATTGCCCTGCAAGCCACAAGAAGAGCAATTGCTACAGATTGGCCTGACAGTGTTCAATGTAGAGGAGCAAACAAAGTGCATGAGTGGCCATTATGGTGGCAGTCATGGACACAAGACTTTGAGATAAGTATATTTTTATAATTGATACACACTTCAAAGTCGGAGCTGCAATGGAATTGTCCCCGTTGTAAAACAGCACACTCCACAATTGCCTCAGTCACTCAGCCTTCTGCTTACATAGAAAAGTGTTTTTT